TGAACCAAAGCAAAATAAGGTGTCATCAGCCTAGAGAGTGATTCAGCCGTGTAAACCGAGTTCGTGAATGTTGTTAATATAGATTAAAAATAACAATGGACCTAATGTAGACCCTTGTGTGACGTCGCATGTTCTGAGCTTTGACCTAATTTATTTAAAATTTTTAGTGTTTGTAAATATTTTTTTTTGTTAGTTTTTAGATGGTTCGTCTCAGGTGCTTACAATGTTGTAACAAGTTTTTCCCTACCATTACAAATATATATCATGTTCAATGTTCATTCATTTCAAGTTAGGTTTTAACGTTTGAAGGCACGCCCAATTACAACTGTGACAATATTTATACTCGTAATTAACAATTTGTGTTACTATTAATTCTCCTACAGCTAATCTTGGTGTGTGACACAGCGTATATTTTTAGGTCGGGGAATACTACGGAATTTTTTATAAGTACAAATTTTATAAACAACGAAAACCCTTGTCAGTATTGTACACATGTATCCGTACTATATCCAAAAATAACAGCTAACACTTAAGTATGTACTAATCAATTGAATACTACAGGTTTCCATAGTTTTAGATCATAATGTTGGAGCAGGTTTCAGTCAGTTGTTACCGTGCCTTCCGTCCATAGCGAGCATTGGGGGCTGGGTTTTAGTGGGTAGGGTGCTATTGCACCTCACGGAGCGACCCCCACACTCCCCGCGTCGCTTTAAAAGTCTGTAAATTGATTTCCCTACAATAAAGAAAACGGTACAGTCAGTCACCGTTCACCAATGGCAGGTCATTAATTAATAGTTCTATTTCTTTCACAAAAATATTATATTATTTAAATAAGAAACTTCAAAACAATCATTGCAGTCATATAATGTTTATAATAAATGTAAAAAAAAAATTCATAAATTTAAAGTAAATAATTTTACTAATAGTTCGCTCGTTACTTAATGACAAAATTATATGCAAGACTACGCAGGTGCTGCAGTAAGGCTCTGTTTTGCACTCTCAGCTTTAACCACGTGAATTATACGTAGCTATAAAATATACGGTATTCTCTGTACTAATTATTAATATACGAAAACTGTTTCAGTGTTAGTACATTATATCAATTAAATATATATGTATGTAAGGCCGTAGACTTGATATTACTAAATTACACACGGTACGTTTTTCTCCACTAAGTTTAATACATATTACGCACTAGCTGCCCCAGCGAACTTTGTTTCGCCATAATGTTTTTTTACTTAACCTACGTTTTTAGTAGCTACATATGAAACATTTGGATATACTACCCTTTTTATGATTATCGTACAGGATCCACTTTTCATCACAGTTTTGATTAGATTTAAAACCCCTTCATTATTGCGCCGGTTGAGTAATGTAACGCAGCAGTCGACGCGCGTTTGTCGATTTGCTTTACTCAATTCGTAAGGTACCCTTTCAAGCTTTTCAAATTTGCTTCAAGTGGATAATACAGTTTTATCACTAACACCACAGCCTCCAGCTAACTCAGACGTAGTTTGCGATACATCCGCTTCCACAATAGCCTTCAATTCTTCGTTATCAACATTGGTCTCCGGCCGTCCACGGTGCTTGTTCTGCATGTCGAAATTTCCAGATCGAAAACGCGAGCGACACCGCCGCAATACACATCATTAATCCTTCGAGCCGTTTCTGCAGCACTGGTGACACGGTGGAACTCGTACTCTTAAATAACGCGATATTTCAAGTTTTCCATATTATATATAGGATGATCATGGTTTTCGAAAAACAAATCCACACGTAAATAGCTGTAAAAATTTGAATTTGGAACTCCTAACCAAAGAGGAGATATTTGAGGTCAAAGTGGCCAGTACGACAAAACGCCAATTTCATATGTAAGGACCTAATATTACAGATCTTTGAATGGCCTTGCTATTTAATTATTACTATATAATTATTATAAGTATAATATTGAGTAATCTAAATAAAAATATACCTCCAAAAGATATCAGCTGCTTAGAAACTCGAAACTACCATACAAAAGCCGAAACGACGCGATTCGCTTGTTTTCAACTTTGTATTTGATCTCAATTGTTCTTGTTGAGTTTAAATTGCTCATCTTGAGATTATGAATTCATTTTCACAATGCTTTAAAGCTTAGTCCTTTATTCAAATCACTTTACTATGTTTTTAATAATAATATGTGAAAGGCAGTGTTGGTATATACTGCAATAAGTTCTCAGTTCTCGTGCGTGTGAAGTTCCAGAAACTTACTTTTTCAGGACGGGCACAAAACGGGCAGAAGGCTCATCTGATGTTACCGCTGCCTATGGACACACTACGAATAGGCTCGCAAAAGCGTTGCCAGCTAATGGGTACGCTCTTATCGTTATATAATTAAAAATACTGGCTATAAATTAATACATATTAATTAGTGTTGTTAAAAATCAAGCCGGAAATAAATTCATTTAAATGCTTATATATATATATACTAGCTTCCCCTGCGAACTTCGTTTCTCCTTAATGCCTAGCCTACCTTTTGAGTAGATACCAACATGGAATATTTTGCTATGCTACCCCAGACTCCGGTTTTCCGGAATAAAAACTTTCAGGTTTTTCTGTGATTTTTCTCTATATAAACCTAAGAGTTCAAGTTATAAGTTCTTAACTAACAAATAAAAAATAGGGGTTGATAGTAGAGGGTAGATGAAAATTAAGGGTTGTATGTTTTTTGTGTGCTATATAAAGAAATAAAAACAAAAAAAAGGGTCTAAAACATTAAAAAAAATTTGGGGTGGACACTCCTTTTATCACTAAGGGGTTAAAAACATAGATAGTAGTCGATTCTCAGGCTTACTGAATATGCATTAAAAAATTCATAAGAATCGGTTGTATTTCATGATCATCAGAGCTATACAATATTACTGAATTGGATGTTTCAATACAATAACGCTAGAAAGACTTATTGGTAACTAGGTAGTGACACTTTTCACGGGTACAATTACGACGATGATGTCATACCCTGAAAAGCAAAGTTATTCCTACAGCTAATTATATATATACAACTTCTCGATCTTAGCCACTGGGGCCATCTGGCTAGTCAGTGGTTAGACTAGTCAAGAATCCTCGCTATAGAAGGAAGAGCGGCACCTTCCTACTTCCACAATTATCAGGCACAAAATATTTCAGTATCATGAAAACTTAGTCAATTACCCTATTTAATTGTAAAATCCGTTCATAGTTAACATATTTTAATCAGGCTAAAAGGACTCGCGTGTCATGTTAATATGAAACATTTTCCATATTTTTGGAGGAAATAAAGTAAATTACATTAAGGCGGGTCTCACTCGTGTGCACGTAAATCAGGACACGTACACGCAATTAATATGCTAATTAATAAAATCTTTTTAAAGAGATACCATAATGTCGATATATAATTGTATATAATTAAGTGGTAGGTACATAGTAAACTGTTGACATTACATAATAAGTACATTTGAAATTAGTGGTTTAGCGATCAAAATGTGTGCTAAGTCTGATTCCCTACCACAAAAATGTGTTGGATTTTGTCAAACGGGAGTAATATGATATAGTCTAGACTTTGATTATTACCCTAGATTAAAATGGCATCATTTCATTACCAGTAGCGCTGTTGATATTAAGCAGTTTTAGGCATTGAAAATAGTCATGGTAAGTAACGCGTTAAGGATGATAAAAAATTGTAAACATAGGCACACTACAAATGGTTATCATAGATTATTTCTTTCAATGTTATCTCATAAAATGATAAAACCAATTTTAATTATAACGATTAATGCTACGTACTCTTCACATTAATAATTTTGAAAGAAAATATTAACGGCTCTGTATTTAACCTTCAGTTTTTATATGTCTCAAGACAAAACAATTTGGGAAATTTAAAAATTCCACTTTAATAATATTATGAATTAACATTTAACACATTTTACATCAGCTGTCTAATCAATAAACATTAGTGAATAGCACGCCATCTAGCTAAGACTTAAGGAACTACTGTAACCATAAAACTGGTTCTGCAATTCTTTAACTAATTTTATTATAATAACTGATGATTAATAAGTTGCCATTTATTATTATTGTACATTTATAAAAGTTAAAAGGTAATTAAAGTAAATTAGTGTTATAAATAAATATGTTGATATTGTTGCTTTTTAATCTCGGATTTTTATTCTCCCCTTCAATACGCAAATTGCTACCTAGCCTTGGGGCCTTATCAAGATCCTTAACAGTAGTGTATGTTGAAAGTCAGAAACGAAATTTGTATAAACTTTTCGAACGAACTGTATTTCCATACAAATTTATTTTCGACTTTCTAATAACTACTGTTAAGTCATTTGATACTGGCCACCATTGTGTTTCCGTAGGTGTGACCAGCGTCCACGCTGTGCATTTTTTTCAACTTTTTTTGTTAATAAAGTAATATATGTATATGAAATTGATTTATATAACGTTTCAATTTCGTGGTAGAGACACGAAGATTTTTGTTTTTTGTAGATCTGACAAATTGACCGATTTATTATTACATCCCGAGTACGTAAATAGTTATGTTATCATTTTCTCTGGTTTATTTATAATCATTAATACGTTAAGGTTCTAGCCATTCACTAATGCACGACTACAAGCGCAGATACATGTAAGATTTTAGCTGTAACCATTTAAATCTATTTAGTTTTTCTGAAGGCCTTTTATAATGGAAAAATAAGTAGTGAAATACAGTACCAGTCTTTTGACTTTTACCTTTAGGGATATATATTTTTATAACGTTGGCAGCACTGTGTCTTCTACAACGACTAACGAGTGTGATGAAAACAGGTTCCAATTTATTTAATCTGGCAAACCCAAAAAGTGAGCCATCGCCCTGTTAACGGTGTCATGGCGGTTTGACTTGTTGAAGGTTTTTGCAATAACTTGCAAGTTAATGCGCTTTTATTTTGTTTAAACTTTAATTTCTGTGCATAAAATTATCCAACACAAAATAGTTAATAATGCGTGAATACAAAATAGTCGTGTTAGGTAGCGGGGGCGTGGGAAAGTCCGCCCTGACAGTACAATTTGTACAAGGCATCTTTGTGGAGAAATACGACCCCACCATCGAGGACAGCTATCGAAAACAAGTGGAAGTTGATGGACAACAATGTATGCTCGAAATCCTTGACACTGCCGGCACTGAACAATTTACTGCAATGAGAGACTTGTATATGAAGAACGGACAAGGTTTCGTGTTAGTGTATTCTATAACCGCACAATCGACATTCAACGATCTACAAGATTTAAGGGAGCAGATATTGCGGGTGAAGGACACGAACGATGTCCCCATGGTCCTGGTGGGCAACAAGTGTGACCTGGATGCGGAGCGCGTGGTTGGTAAGCAGCAGGGTGCCAACCTCGCAAATCATTTCAATTGCGTCTTCATGGAGACCTCTGCCAAGGCTAAAATCAGTGTGAATGAAGTGTTCTACGATCTAGTGCGACAAATCAATAAAAAGTCTCCCAAAGAGGTAAACAAACCAAGAAGCAGAAAGCACATATGTCGTCTGCTGTAAGGTTCGTGGCGTGTCCGGCTCGCATATGTATTAAATATTTAATAATTTGAAAGACTTCTATTACCCGGATTTGGCTCTTGATTACTCCAAAATATACTATGTCGGGTGAGCATGGTTATTTATACCTTGCATTTCTAGAATGTGCATTTTTAAAACTGATGTATTGTGATCCAGTGCTTTAGGGTGAAATGTACACTAAAGTAACATATGTTTTCTGTACTTCGGCAAATGTTTCTAAGTTTCCTCAATATGTTATAAAATTATGTGTACACTTCACCCTTAAATTTAGTTCCATGTGAATAAATACTAAGTTCAGAAGTTTTTATCAACTCTGATCTATTGTAATTGTTGATTAAATATCATGTTAGGTAAAGCATATTTGAAGCCAACTTCATAATCACAATTTAGGTACAATTGCTTCGTTAGATGTCAATGTTCACAGGCATTGAACAGGAAAATTTAACAATTTATATGAATAGAAGAATTTAGTTATACTTCCTTTAGTAGGTATTTTCTCTTTAGCAGTGTATTGCTATATATGGATTACCTTATAACAAATTGGGACTTTATTTTAGGGCAATCTAAATTGATTATATACCAAGATAGTTTGAAAATGTTTAATTACAGTTCTTCCATTGAATTACACCAATAATTATCTTATACACAATACTAAAAGATGTATGTTATATATCAGATGCAATGGGTTATAACTTATACCATATTGGCATGTTGTAAATCTTTTCTCCACTTTTAAAAAATACCAGCTTTTTCAAACCTTAGGGTATTAATAATTATAATAAATTCCTATAAATTCAGATGTTTTACTAATTGATATAAGTTTACATTGCGTATAAAGAATATAACATCTATAATCATTTGCTATGAAACAGTTGCATGTTCAAAGCTTCTGAACTTCATATAAAAGGTTAAACAGGCTCTAAGGATGCCTAACTCATGCCGTTGGGCCTGATTCTATGTAAAATGTTTATGATTAAGAATACATTAAAAATTTTCAGATATATTATTGTCTTGTTATATTCTACGAGTGTATCGATAGAAAGTTGATGCAACACCATTTGGATCTCTATACAGGGGTATATCTTGTGAAAGTTTAACCTATGTCCATTTTTAATCCTTCCAATGCACCAACCATAAATATTAGATCAATTATCTAAATTAATCATAGATTATTCTACTTACAAGTTTCTTTTTTTTTTTGTAAATATAATTTCAGGAATGTGGCCTGATACACCTACTTAATAAGAATAACCCTGTATATTGAACAAAGATTAGTGAGCCTTAGGTGATTGCACCCCGTGTAGTGTGACCAGTGTCTATTGTTTCCATAGGCACTTGCCAGACTGTATTCCTTTATAAAAAGTAAAAAATCTAAAAAATATCGTTATTGTAAATTGGATAAATTTTTATGATTACTGGCTCATTTAAATGTAAATTACTGACATGACGTGTTGCTACTACTAAAACTTTGTTAAAGTAATAATTATAAATAGGTGTTCAAATATTGTTATGGGATTAGATGTTTCCTCCGTTCTAATTTCTGTTAATGTAAGAGTAACTGCACAAGGATATTGGTAAATAACTTCATCTGAGTTGAATTATATTTTTATATATGTGCAAATTTATATTATAACTTGTATATTTTTATCTTTTCAATCAATAATCGACATGTACAATTAATTTCACTTTTGTTTTGCAAATTTATCAATAAAACCAATTTTAAATATTCAAGTTGGCTTTTTCTGGGCTGATCTTAAGTCACAACACATTGATGACTCATGCCTCGCGTGGAGGTCTTGGTGCTAATAAACAATTGCCTCGGAATTTAAATGAATTAATTAAATAAAACAACAGCTGTTCTATATCTATTTATTAACTTGCCGTGTGTAAAAAGGGTATCATAAAATGTGATAACTAAGCTACAATTACAATGATAAAAAAATGGCAGTGTAATGTGGCGGGCGTATGTCGATATTCTAGTAACATAAGAATTGACACAGTCCAATGGAAATGAACACAATACGCCTTATTGACTATGACCTATAAAATAAGCGATCTAATTTATAAAATACAAACATATGTTCTTAAATACAACATTTCTTATGATGAAACAAGGTCTCGTACATAGATCGAGCTCACCACGAAACGCGTAAAGAAATTTTCAATCATTAAACAATCAAAAAATTGTGTTATTATGTTCTAAGTGACAATACTGTGTATAAAACGTTATTGAATGTTAAAAATTTAGGAACCTGCAACACATCAATTTTACGTATCAGCTCTATTTACTCGATGATAAATTTAACATAGATAAGGTAAAAATATATTAAAATTTCTGGTAAAACAAAATTACAAAACCCTTAAATATCGTGTGTATCTTCACAAATTCTACAAATATTTGTTCTTATTGTACCATACAGTTCAATTTCTGATGATTTTCCTTTATTATAATCACAAGGTCGGCCATATTCGTAATTCTAGTAAATTATGTGCTGACTACGTGTTTATTCCTTTAAATATGTATTACAACATTGTGGGATAAACCATATTAGTTTATATGATTAATAATATTATAGTAATATTTTGATCTGAACGAATAAAGGTTGAGGAAACTAAATAATTCAAATTCATCCGTAAATTTATTTTAAAATAAACCTTAACACTACGACTAGTAAGTGACTAGATCAATATAGGGAAAATTGGTAACAGGGCGATGACTAAAATAATGGGAGTTGTCTAGTCGCGGCACCTCAATTCGACCCACGTTACATTCAATTTACATTATTAACGAGTGCAGGAATGATTCTCCTGGGGTCAGCGAAGGTCAAACACACTTAAATTTTGTTATCAACCGAAAATTATGCATTCCCCATCTCTTTGGTCGAAACACAAATATTTATTTCAATTCGAAACTGCTATGTACGTGTGAAGAGGCGGTTTAATTCGAATATTTAATTTTCATGTCAAAGTGTCATCCCACATACAAATCCACTTGTTGCCCAAATATCAAAGTTGTATATAATGCGTTGGATGAAGATAATGTTACGCCCACCATTATATTTTAGTAAGTAGCTAATGTTAGATAAAAGCTTTACCGAGTATCGGCAGTATTATATTAAATAGATACTTAAGATCTATGAGCGTATGATGCGGGCGAGACATTTTAAATTAACAGTTCGATAAACGAACTCTTTCTCACAACACCGTTACTATTCGCACGTTAAAATCGGAGTGGTGGTGTAAAACTTTCTTTAATTTCTTAGCTGGAACAATATTAAAAAAAAAACGAATAGACTTTGTTTTTACTGTAAAAATCGTGGATTACTATTTCCGGTACGCGTATGATATGACGGGAAGTGATACCCAACATGATATATGCCGGTACAAAGGCATTTGTTTAACAGCTCGTACAGTGACCCGTCTGCCCTCACCTTGTATTTTGACTTAGCAAATTAAAAACGCTGAACTTACGTCATCGAGTTACTGGGCAAACCAAAATTATTTTAGAATTAGTCTAAATTTTATATGTATCGGTACAAAGTGGCAATATCCTGACATATATTACTGAATTGATAGTAGGAATTGTTACGCGAGATTCGAATTTACTGTAGAAGATTTGTTGCTTTGACTCACAATTTTATTTCACAAAGTGTGATTGAAGTTTGTATGGATACTTTAGGGTGATTAGAAACGGGAACCTTACCTCTCGAATTACAAAATTCAATACATTTTTGACGTACGTCAGACTTAGTATCTCGTTTCTGAATCTTTCAAACATTACGTAACAAATTTGGGGGGGGGGTTGTCCCTTTTGTAAAACGTTACGATGCGGGGCGAGGATTTAATTACGCGTTATTGTTAATATTATTTTCGACTTTACACCACATAATGGTAACTTTTAGGTTTTACTATTGGATACAGAAAACGTTACGGCGCGTTACATGGGGGGGTCAATAATCTCCAAAAACTGCGTGACGTAATACTTGAACGCTCCCTTACCTTAAAGGGACTGTAATCCCTATATTACCCTAACATTATTTATCTATTCAGTATTTAAATTGCAAAGCAAACATTCACATATATTAAAGAGTACAGTAGGTCAAGACATCCTCATTCATAAGTAGGAGTTTCCTGAATCTTTTCTATTCAATCGCTACATCTAAGCCAACCACAAATAAATACAAACAGGTATATTAACACACAAACATAAAAACTAGACTCGTTTGCTCAGCTGAGTCATTCATAAAAAATCGCTTCCGTGGTGTTTCCGTATGACCTTACGTGAGTCATTCGATAACGGTAAGATTTGTCATTTGTAAATGCAAAATACGTAGTTATTAATCATTGTTAGGTTAATAGAGTTATGACCTTGTCTACTAAGGTTTTGGTCATTATTGGAAGAATTTGATAATTGAGATTAGAAGACAATATAGCTTCATCAATCAGTTCTACAAGAGTATAATTAAATCAACCTTACACTGATGTAGTAAAAAAATTGTATTATTAAAACAGCGTAGATTCACCTTTATGAATTAAAAACTGTAATGTTCGAATCAACTCAAAGAAAACTATTTTTTTATAAGGCAGAGTGCCGACGTAAAGTTACGAATCACTGATTTTACTGCTGGAAATATTTGTTAATAGAAAATATATGACTAGAATGGGAGAACTATTTTAAGTAGACTATTTGATATTCTTGTATCTACGAAAAATTGACAAAACAAGGTTTTTGCTAAATTTTGTTTAAAAAATTCCAAGCAGATAAACTTATAGTCAACAGCGTAACGGTACTTGTAACTTGCAATAGTGATAGCGATACCCACTGCAAAGCTTGTGTACTCAATTTCCTTAACCTGTGATTGCGTGGTTCGTTATCGCTATTGGGGCTAAAAGTACCGCCTCAGTGCCATTACCCTGTAACTCCTTATAGCTTTTCCGAATCCAATAAGTATAGTTAGAAAAAACTATATCAAACAGAATCG